ATTCTAACTTTGCCTTTGTTTGGGAAAAGAAAAAAAATCTAGTGTACCATTTCTCTAGTCTATGACAAGGTCAAGAATCTGAATAGACAGGTTTTAGTAGGTTTTCCCCCTCAGGCTATTAACTTTATAGCCTGCCCTTTCAATTACATTTGGACGGGGCTAGCCATTCTTCATTGAATTTACACTAGTTGTCCCTGGGTCTTCATTTTTGGAAGCTTCCCAAACCATGCAAAACTTTGGTTAAATAAATGTGTTAGGCTTTTTTCTTGTTAATCTTTTTTTTTTTTGTTATAGGAGTGTTGGCTGTGCCCCACACAATGAGTAAGAAAAAGTGTCACATCTTTTCTAAGCCTGTTGCCCCCCCGAACTTTGCAGGTGATATGTTACATTGACCTCGTTATTGCCCTCTACTTGTTTCCCAGCTTGGGGTGTTTTTTATTTTTGAACTGGTATGGTCAAGCATCTTGCATGTTGAAGGTCATGGTCAAATGCCATTGTCTAATGTTTGTTGAGTAACTGATGTGGGAAGTGAGGGGAGGGCAATGAGGTGAATCAGTAGCTGGAAAGCTCCTTAATGGTAGAAGAATTTAAGCCCTCATTTCCCTCTCCTTTTGTTCTTCTTTTCCCCACCCTGAAACTCCCCTCTCTCACGCTGCTATTTTCTCATACGGCTCAGGGTTTAGGTTTGGAGACAGTGCCTCCCACAATTTCTTTGCTCCAAGCTCTTACTGAGAATTAGCAAATTTTTCTCAAAAAAAGAAAACAACCAGAACTTAGACATTTGATTAAATAAACCTAATGTCTCCTAAATTATTGGTCTGCTGATTTGCAACTGCACTTACCCCAGTCATCCATGTAACGCTTTTCATTTACAGGTGCATTTTATTTGAAATCCAATGAAGGAGAATCAAGCAGTGATTTATTATTTAAATACCTGTTGTTCTGGTGGATGACCTCCTTGGAACACCATTCAAAATGAATAAATAAATAAAAGTAAAAGGTTGTATTTGTAGTAAAAAGCCTTAGGTTTTTGCCTTTGACTGTATGACAGATCAACCACTTAATCTTTCTAAATATATTTCCGTTGTTTATTTACAAAATGAGGATGATCTCTCTCTGCTTTACATAGGTAGTTCTTTCACTGTCTCATTGGTAGAATGATCCCAGGTGGTAAGAAATACACATGGTCTCTTTAACTCTTCAATCTTCTAAGGCTGAACTTTTCTAATCAATAAATTGTAAGATCCTCAAATATTTCTCCCACACAAAGAATAGCCCAACTCCCTAGAAAAGCACACTTACACAGCCTATCTAGCACTGCATATTCTGAAGATATTTAAAAATATGGAATACATACTGCTTTACTTTGTTTTGATACTAAATTTTGGGATTTTTCATGCCTTTTATAATGTGTTTTCCTTCTTTTCAGTAAAATTTAAAAAAAAAATTGCACATTGTTGTTACGGTTTGTGTCTGTGTGTCCCCCCAAAACCTCATGTGGCCATGGGGCAGGCTTTTAGAGTTTGATTGATTATGGGTGTGAGAGTTACACCCACACTGGGGTGGATAGTTTGCATATGTAAGGGAGAGGAAGAGGCTGCTTGAGGCCATTCCTCCCTTGTGTGTGCTTATTGTTTCGGCTATGTTCTGCCGCCATCAGCTGTAGCCCTCTGCCATGTGCCACTCTGCCTTGTAACCTGCCAAGTATGGACTAAAACCTCCACAAACTGTAAGTGAAATAAAACTTTCCTTCCTTAATTTTGGGCATCAGATATTTTGTCCCAGCAACAAGGGAAAGTAACCAAAACAATAGCCTACCTCCAAACCCATGAACTAAAAATTACCACTAGCAACAGTTTGCTCTGTATTTTAAGAATTTTATTCATGCTTATTGTATTAGTTTGGACAGGCAAATTACTGTAAGAAATAGGCAAAAATAAAAACATGGTAAGGTAAGAAATAGGAGGGATGAATATGATCAAAATATATGTATAAAAGACTCCCACAAAATACAAAACTAGGGGGAGGGTGGAGCAGTGATCTAAATATGTTATGTGCATGTATGAATCTGCCAAAATGAAACTTATTATCACTATAGCAAATATGCACTGATACAAAAAGATGTGGAAAAAGATAAGAAACACCCCTAAGGTGAATGGCATTTGTTTCTTGCTCACAGAACAGGACTGGATGGATGAGCAGGAGGCCAGGGCAGCCCTCTTCTCTGCAGTCACTTAAGCATCCAAACTTACTCTGGACGGGTGCACTGAATCACATGCAACGTTTCTTTCTGTCTGTGTCCCAGCTCTCTGGAAGCAGAGCTGGCCTCCTGCATTCTTAGGCTACAGTTGCTTAACTCAAAATTGTGTGATTCAAATTCACCCTCCCAGGCACACTTGGAACTAATTCACATTTGGACTTTGCTTTCCACCTTCTCTGCTTAGAGGTTCTTTGGGACTTACCTCCAGTCTTCTCTCTGGCTTACAAACTAGCTGCCTTTGCTTCTTATGAACTGTTAACAGCAGTGTTTCAATTCCCTTTCACTCACTGCCCTTTAAGCTGAAACAGGTGAGTTGCATTTACTCTCACTGTGACATTTTTGCGGGGCCACTCATCCCTCAAGTATACTTGTTCAAAACTTATCTTTCCTACTTAAAACACATGCACACACACAAGATAGCTAATTGTACTATTAATTTCTAGTTGGGCGTGGTGGCACACACTTGTAATCCCAGCACTCAAGAAGCTGAGGCAGGAGGATCGTTGTGAGTTTGAGGCCAGCCTGGGCTACAAAGTGAGCTCCAGTCTAGCCTGAACTGCATAGTGAGACCCTGTCTCAAAAAGACAAAAAAAAAAATTAAATTAAATTTAAAAGAATAAATAATTTCTATTAGTTCATTGAAAGGAACAATTAGTGCTTATACTGTTTGATCAATTTTGCATGCCTATATCTTGTAATCTGAGTGACTACTTTGAAGATAACAACATGCAATATAATAACCATTGTTTATTTCCTATCATCTTGTTTTGAAATTCTGTATCATTTTTATTGGGTTTTTTTTTCTCTCTTTAAAAAAGAAAACCAACTTATCTTTCCGGAAAGAATTTTTCAGCCAGCAAGCCACACTTGGACAATTTCCAAACTTCCTATCTCACCTGTATTTGTCTCTGACAAAAGCTCATACTCTCCTCCCCAAAAGGAAAGCTCTGTCAAGGGGTTCATTGTTCACCTTGGTCAAAGAGACTGAAATATTGATGAGTCCTTCAAAAGTTCCTATAGTGAGAAAGAAAGGTATTTGCCTGGGCAGGAGTCTCCCGGGATAGTGCAGGTATGTTAATGTAGGCAATGGACTAGTAAGGTTATATTATTATTGACAGTAAGCTATGTGCAGCAGGAGGAGAAGCAGATAGATTCTTCCCTGAGAGTTAATTCCAGCCTGTCTTTTCCAGCGCCTGATTCATATTCAGTGTCCTCAGTTACAACACCTAACCTAGCAGGGTTTGAATTTGTTTTTTGCAAGAATATTTCCATACTTTCACTTCCAAGGTGTCAATGTCTGTTCTAGCTTTTGTTGTACTTGTGAAAATAACAATAACAAAACCATTATTTATAGGAGGATTTCCTCAGTAGGAAGCCCACATATCAAATTCTTTATAGATATTATTTAATATTCAAAAGAGCCCTTTGGAAGAAGAGGTCCTCTTCTTGTCCCTACTCTACAGATATTGTCCCTGCTTTACAGAAAACTATATCTCAAAGTGGTCAAGGACCTCATGCAGCCAGAATGGAAGAGCCAATGTTCTATCTCAGCTCCATCTGACTATTCAACAGCAAACAGGAACAAATTTCCGATACCAGCAACAACATGGACAAGCCTCCCAAGCCATCATATTATATGATTCTCTCTATAGGAGATGTCTAGATAAGACAAACTTATAGAAATAGAAAACACAGACCAAAATTTTATAGGTATAAGGGATGGGTGGTATTAACTGAAAATGGACATATCATTACATTTGTCACTGAGAGAAATATTTTCAAATTGGATTGTGATGATAGTTGCACAATTCTAAAATTTACTAAAAGTTATTGCGCTGTATTCCTACACTACCTGAACTTTATGGGATGTAATTCCTCTGCTAATAAAACTGTTTACAAAATTACAGAGGTCAGATTCAAGTTTTCTGATGGATAACATTAACGACTGGAATCAAGCCTTAGGAGCTCTCTCTAAGGAGAAAGAATACAGGTCTCATTGGGTTCTTACACACTGTCTGTAAGCACAGATAGGCCTTTAAGCTCCTTCAGCCAATCTACATGTGCTGATATTTTTAATTTTACTAGTGACAACCGACTTCTAACAGTTGGTTTTTTTACTAATGCTAATTGTGCATAGATAGATATCTAAGTATGTAAGTTACAGACACATATGATATCACAACCTATATGCTGAAGAATCTTTAACTGTCATTGCAAAGTAAACCCACATTGTGCCCTTCCTCCAAAATGTCACCTGACAGTACAACTCTGCCTTTCCTACAGGGGCATCACCTACCATGTAATTCACTCAAACTCCCGCTCAGTGCTCATTGCTTTGGGAAGGACACTTGTACTACTAATTTGGCTACTGGCTACTGGCTATCGTTAATGCTAAAGATAAATGTCCTCAATGCTTAATTAAGCCATTGAAGGGTTTTTTCTTCCTATCTAACTGTAGAATGAAAATGTCCCTCTGGAACTACTCTATTATGAGAAAGTGTGTCTATAAATTCAAAGGCCAGATAGTGGAAGCAGGGACTGGAGCTTGTGTGATCCTGCATGGAGCAGGACTAGTTTGTGGCTGGTGGGACAGGTTCCTGAGAGCAGCAGTCACTGCAGTGCCGCATAACAGCACACTCTTCTCACAGACATTTGTTAAACCTGACTTATGTTGTTTTAGCTTTGGTAAAAAACAGTAATGGGTGTATTATGGTGACTACATTCCTTGTAACTTTTACAGAGAAATTCGGAATACCAGAAGTTTAACTTACATAGATCCTGATGCCCTAGAAGAGCTCCCCCTCCTAAAGTTCCTGTAAGTATCAACTCCTTCTCATCCCACTTTTTAGTTTTTAATTTCTTTCTTTTTTAATAATTTTACTTCTGTTGTCTTCCAGGAATCTCCCTAGGATGATGTGGTCTAGTGTCATTTTAATGATGTATGGCTTGGATCAAATTACTTCTCGTGATTCTATTCCCACCCCTTCCCATCAGGCAAAGTATTAGGTGAATGGCTCACATTTTCTTAACCTATCCAAAAAGTCAGCACATAGTGCTGGAACTAGAGACCTGCTCCAAGAGACATGAGGGAGAAAATGTCATCAAAATCCTGAGAGCCAATTGGCCAACTTTTATGTGGAAATGGTACTGTAACAATATGAAAGTGACTGTTACGCAGAGAAAAAGTCACAAATGATAAAATTTAATATCTTGAGGGTGGAGAGCAAAGATGGAAGGGATAACACTAGTTTGTCTTGACAATAACTTATGAGCTAACCGTAGCTCTGTGAGAACAGGAACAACATTTTTGTTTTCTCTAGCATCTTTACTGACCTGCACAGAGTAGATACTCAATAAAAGTGTGATCAGTGAATATATATTTATGATCTTGGGACCTTTAGATACCAGCTGGAAGTATCCTCTTTCCTGCTTATCTGTATTATAAAGTTAAAAAGCAAACCAAAAAACATGAAAATAAAAATAAACCTTGTAGGGATTGATTCTTAAACAGCAATCACTATTAACTTTAAGTTAATTTCCATTCTCAATTTTAAAATAAAAGGGTACATTCATAGATGTTTTATGACATGTCTGTAAGGTTGAATAGAATTCTTTAAGGAAAAGAAGGGGGAGGATGAGGACACATGCAAATGAGAAATATGACAAACACACAGAGGCATCAAACAACCTGGCTCATTTGGGGAAAGAAAAACAGTGCCTTGTTGGAGGCAAGAGTGTGAGATAACAGGAAAAAGGAAGAGAAAACTGATTGTATATGTGATTCAAGTAATACCTGGGGGCAACGAGATATTACGGGACAAGACAGTCACTCTTCAAAACCTTGAGTTCCAAACTCAATCAATAATCAATCAGGTATTTAGAGGAAATATAAAAAGACTTCTTCAAGGTTTAGAAGAGTAGAGGTTATGGTTCAACTGGAATTTCTAACCCTTTATTCTATGGCCCCTACTTGACTCTCTGGACTTTTCTTCCCTTTCTTCTCCTTCTCTTACATGAATCTCTGTTACAGTTGAACTTGTGTGTTACTGTACATCAAATATACCATATACCTTATGGAATACCCTTCCTCTTCTTTGTTACCTGCATTATTCCATTTGCTCATTTTGAGGCCTGTGGCTGCTGCTGCCTATTCAGATTCTATGCTTTCCTCTCTAGAAGGAATCAAGTCTGAAGTTGCCCATCCCAGGCCAAGCCTCTCAAAAGAGTTTTTGCTTCCACTAGCTATGTTGTAGTGCCTGCAACAAATTTAAAACCAACTAAATCTGAAAGGCATCAGGAGCCTGAGAGTTTTTGTGTCCAGGCTGTTTTATGCATATTGTTTAATCTTGACTTCTTTTTCCTAGACAAAACAAACTTTGGAAACTTAGCTTCTTTTTTTTTTTTGGATTTTTAAAAATGGTACTGCTGCAGTAGTACTCTCTTGTCACTGCTGTAGGAAAGTCATTCTTAGCAAAACAATACCACACAAAAAATATGTACAAGAGGATGGTTGGCTTTGAGTTGGATAATCATGTTTTCCTCTTCCATGCTGCTCTTATCTGCTTCCCAGGCACAAAAGAAATATAAATTCATATTTCTAGGAACACCACTGTGTTCAAACAATCTCCAGAACAGTCTCTACAAGCAGAGCAAATGTATTGACACTGATGAGCTGGATTAAATGATTGTGCCTCAAGCGAATATCATTTCATCAGTGTTATGGCTTATATCTAGTTGTCCCCCCAAAGCAGTCATAGATGGGAATTTTTTCAGAGGTGGCTGAGTATAAAATGTGTGATGTTGGGAATGATTTATGCTGCAATGCTCGGATAAAAGGCACTATGATTAAGGTTGTGAGTGTTATCTGCCCTAAGTAGTCAGAATAAAATATAAGGGAGAAAAAGAGCTGTGGTTGTCCCTCATTGTTTTGCTACCTTCTACCTGCTATGAACTGCTTCTCCTCTGCAATGTCACCCTGCCTTGGAGTCAGCTGATTATGGACTGAAACCTCTACAAACTGTGAGCTAAATAAACCTTTCCTCCCTTTAACTTTGGGTATCAGGTATATTGTCTCAGCAATGAGAGAGAAAAGTAAGTAAGACAGAATTTGGTACCAGAGAAATGGAGTCATTGCTGTGATTGTACCTGACCATGTGGTTTAGGAGACTTTGGACTGGCTTGTGGGAAGGGGAAAAGGTAGGAAAGGTTTGGAGTTTTGAGCTGAAAAAGTAGAGCTGGAATGCCTTAGACTCTACTTGATGGGAGATTTTGGTCAGAGCTCAGAAGATGAGATGGTCAGGCTCAGAAGATAGAAATCCTGCCATGAAAGACCAGGCTATGGAGGTTTCTTCTGGGAAAAAGAACTGCATTGGTCGTTGGGCCCCAGATGATGTGTGTTATGACTTCAAAGAAAGTTTGTCTGCATTTTGCTCATACCCAGAGACTTTGCCTGAGACTGGGATTCAGGGTGGTGGACTAATTAATATTGCAGAAGAAATTTCAGGCCATTCTAATGTTGAGGCAGTGACATGGCTACTGTTGGGGGCTTTTAGCCAGAATTATCTTGAGAATCAAGAGCAAAGAGCCCAGCAGAATGATTTAAAACATTGTGAGTTTGGCCAGAAAAGGTGATACAGTAAAATTTTGGCCTGCAAAAAAGGGAACAGAGAAGAAATTGGTCACTGAAAAGACTAGCAAAAAAAAAAAGCCAAACATTTTGGAAGAAGACAACAGAAAAAAACTGGCCTGAGGACAACACAAGAACCAGCAGGACACTAGCATTTGCAGCCTCAGAGTTGCAAAAAGTGAAAGATAGCTTTGAGAAGAGAGCCCCAGAGAACCATGTTCCAGAATGGTGGAAGCCTAGGGAAGTTGCTTCTTGGGATTTGGTTCATAGGAACTGGACCCCTATAGCCAAGACAAAAGGAAGCTTGGCTGCTGCTTCTGCTAGCAGCAGATCTTGGCATCATCCATGTGATGCTGGTCTTAGGTGCATGCAGAATGCAAGAGTTATGGGGTCAGGAAGGCTTCCACCCAGATTTAAGAAGAAGGCCTGCAAGGCCAGGCAGTGTGCCCCTGAGAGAGCAGTGTGTGAAGCTGTGAGTCTGAAGCCAGAGGTGTAGTTGTGACCCTAGAAGTTTGGAAAAGCCAGGAATGTGGATCGTCTGAGGAAAACTGCAAGAAAGGAGCAGAGTAGGCCCAAGAGAGAAGCCATGGGAGCTACAACCACTGGAAGAGCTATCAGAGCAGAGCCACTTTGGAGTACACAAGCCTTTTGGAGTTCACATCTTACCTTGGATGCTACACATGCAACTATAGGATTTAATGTTTGCCTTGTTGGATTATGGGCTTACTTTGGTCCTATTCCTTACTATCCGCCTGTTTGTACTTTTTGGAATGGTAACATCTATCTTCTGTGACTGCATGTTGGAAGTGCTTAACTTTCTTTTCATTTGTACAGGGGCTTGCAGCTAAGATTAGTTAAATTATTAAGATTTAAGTCACCTCTTAAATCTCAGAGGTGACTTTGGACTTGGACTTTTCAGCAATGTTGAAACTGTTAGGACTTTGGCAACTCTTAGAGATGAATTAAATACCTTTTACATAAAGGATATACATGAGTCTTTGGGGTCTCAGGAGCAGAATGTTGTGATTTGTGTCTAGATGTCCCTGCAAAACCTTGTGCAGTCAGAGATGGAGCTTCTTCAGAGGTGGATGGATCTAGAGTGTATGATGCTGGAATGGATTTATGGTGCAATGCTAGGATCAAGAACAGGATTAAGGGTGTAAGAGCTACCAACCCTAAATAGCCTAGATAAGATATAAATGGTAGGAAAACTGTGGTTGTCCTTTGTTGCTTTGCTACCTTCTGCACACCATGAACTCTTTGTCCTCTAAAATTCCACCCTCACTTGGAGCCATCTGATTTATGAACTGAAACCTCTACAAACCGTGAACTAAATGAACCTTTCCTCCCTTAACTTGGAGTGTCAGGTATTTTGTCTCAGCAATGAGAAAAATAACTAAGATAATCAGAGTAGAATTTGCTTACAGTCACTCAGATATTATGTGAAGTTAGGAGCAGACTGACTTCAGAACTCATGCTTTTGGCTACCATGTTACACTAGTCTACTCCCCGTGTGTTAATTGTCTTACCCAAAACTGACCCTCTTTCTTCCTTTTTCATGTGATCTAGTGGCATTTTCAACACTGGACTTAGAATATTCCCTGACCTGACTAAAGTTTATTCCACTGATGTATTCTTCATACTGTAAGTATGCATGTCATGCAATGTTTGACACTATTTTGTTTGCCACTGACAAGAACTAGAGTGAAACCATGGGGTTTGGCCAAGTAAAGCACTGGTTTCAAAGAGGAAACAGTGATCAGTTGTGACAACCCTGATGGATGAAGCCAGATAGCACTGGGAAATGGCCATGGGATTTAATAACATGGGTCACTGTGATTCTGACAGTAATAATTCTAGGGGAGTGGTAGGGTAGGGAAGTGAGACTGAGTTTTTGTGAAAGCTCAAAAGAGAGCTGGAGGGGAAGAATTGGAAAAATGACCATAATAAACTTTTTTGAGAAGTTTTGCTATTAAAAGGGAGAAAAAATATCCCAATGGTTGGAGGATTGTGAAAGAAAAGGTTTTGTTTCTTTTATTTTTAAATGGGAAAAATATTGACTATTGACAGGAAAAATTGAATACAGGGAAAATTAATAGTAACTATGATACCTTATTTTTCATGGTGGTTTAAATAACTTTCAAATACTTTCTCATGCATCATATCTGCTCTACTCAACCACCTTATAAGGAAGGAAGTTATTATTTTCCTTTTTGACAAATTAAACTGAAGAATAGGAAATCTAAGTGATTTTGTCTTAGTGAGGTCTCATGGAACATTCAGCAGTCATGCTCAAATTAGTTCCTGTGACTTTCAATTAGTGGCCTTGTGTTTTCTTTCTCAAACCCTGTGACAGAGATGAACTGTCTCATCTAACTAGACAGAGTGAAAGGGACACATGCAGAGAGAATTATACAGGGTAAGTTTGCACTATAGAGTTAGCAAAATGTGGAGTGATAAGTTCCAAACTCTTGCTTGCTTACTGCTTACTTGGATCTCTGAATTCCTGTCCACCTAGGACACCTCCCACCACCTCACCTGACCTTCAAGCCAGCAGTGGCTAGAAAGGGTCAACAAATCCTTAACAATAAGCAAAAGTTTTGCTATACTGAATTGAGTTAAAGTGTCTACATGCAACAGGAGGCTATTTCCAGGAAGAAAGCATTTTTTCATCAAGTGTTTTTGTCCTCTCTCTGTTGCAGTGAAATTACAGACAACCCTTACATGACTTCAGTCCCTGTAAATGCATTTCAAGGACTGTGCAATGAAACTTTGACGCTGTGAGTATTGGTGGTTTCACTTCCGCTGATAAATGAATTTTGTTTGGGGCCATTTTCATAGGAACTGTATTAAATTACTGTTTAGTATGGAAAGGGTTTCGTGTAACTAAGTAAGCATATTACCTTTGGTTTGGTACTCTATGGATCACAAACAGCTTTAGATAACAAGACAAGTCTATTCCTGTATGGCAGTGGTTGCTACCTTTTTTCTGTGAAGGGTCAATTAGGCTTTATAAATGGCCTCTGTACCAAGTGCTGACTCTGTAATTGTATGGCAAAAACAACCACACACATACATAAACATGTCAATGAGCTGGTGAAATTTAATAGGCACTGAACTAGATTTGGTCTACAGGCATAACATTCTGTATTCAAATACCACCATTCTGCAGAGGAAGAACCCTTGCAGAGCAAACTTACGTGACTTCCCCAACACCACTGAGCTAGAGAGTGGCACCACTTCAGTCTCTGTATACTCTGCAGTCACACTTTTCACTCACTAACCACAAACTGTTAATAAGATTCTGGGGACATTGCATAGAATACATAATGTCACTATGTATCATTACTTTTTCAGAGCTGCTCTTTACAGGTTCAAAAGCACATGTTTAATCAGGGATTAAAAGTTCTAATGGAAAAGATCTAATAAAAATATGAAAGAGAAATTAGTTCTGCAGGCTGACAGAAAATTCCTCTCTCTTTGTATCAGCCACAAGTAGAGTTTGGGCCACCTCTGCAGATCCCTGAACTACATTATATATATAATACAACAGAAAAATAATATTTCAAATAGAAAATCTATGCATCCAGATGAATGTCTTTCAAAGTGTCCATCTTAAGCTGCAATACACTTTTATTAATAATAGTGCGTTAACTATTATCTTAGACTCCTTTTTCTGGATATATGTGGTCATTAAAAAAAAAATTAAAGTGAGGAATGCTGATTCCCAACAGTTCTAGACCAATGTTTTGTGGTTAAGTTACCTCGATGTCTCAGTAACTTCACCAGGAAATAGTGGTAATAACATTTCAGACTGGTCCTCTGGAATCAATATATGATTGCAGAAACACAGCAACAAGCTAAAACATTAAAATTTCCATAAAAGGGCATGGTCTATGTACTTTCTTAGATGAAGTTCCATTTAATTTAGCCCACAAGCCTGAAGTATTTAATCTGAAATCAACTCAAGGATAAAGTACAAAAGAGAAACAATATTTTAAATAGAAAATCTATGCATCCAGATGAATGTCTTTCAAAGTGTCCATCTTATGAAGCTGCAATTACACCTTCATTAATAACAGTGGGTTAACTATTATCCTAGACCCCTTTTTCTGGATACATGTGGTCATTTTTAAAAATCCTTTGGCAAGTCTATATTCTTCAGAGTAAATCTGCTCCTGAAGAACAGGCTTCCTTACTAGCATCTAACCCTGGAGAATGGGTATTTACACTGGAAACTATTATCTATGTCTAAAACATACTGTAAAGTTTTCATGTGGGGTGCATTTGTAAGACCTGTGAAACTTTATGCACATTTATGACATTGAAGAAATGATGCCTAACTATTCATAAAAGGCTAACATTATCTTCCATAAATCACTGATC